GGGAAAGACCCAAGCTCTGTGTCCCTGAGTTGGCTCACCTTTTTTGAGATTGCCATGCCTGATGAAGATGGTGCAAGCTTGAGCCTGCATGCCATATGGGCATTCGTCTGCCTTTAAGAACCGGCTGGAGCCCTGCCACAGCATTTGGAGTTCAGTATCCTCAGGGCTTCCTTAGTCTTAGGCACGTCATACCTCTCATTCCTAAAGTGCCTCTCTGCTCCTTTTTTTATACCTTTTTTTAAAATAAAAATTTGATTTTTAATAGTATGCATGCAAAGTTATAAAATGCATGAGCACAAAATGGTATGAGTGTATTTCTGATAAGCTAATAAAATCCAAAGGAGGAAACTTATCCTATAAGTACCTCTGGATTAGAACCAGTAGTGTCACCAAATACTATAAGGAATATTCAAGATATTTTCAAATAGGAGCAGTCTATTATGCCTGCTGGTATCCATATATATGTCTGCCAAAGATTAGGAAAGCCTATGCCTTTGAATTATACCATCTTAATGTGCATAAGGGGTGGGGGAGGGGGGAAGGCGAATATAAGCTAAGTCCTAAATTAAATTGGGTAATAAACACACCATTGAAAGTGGGCCTTAAAAAGAGTCCTGAATTAAAAAGAAGCTGCATGTGCACGGAATGCAGTGTGATACATCAATTTTCTAAAGCAACATGTTGTAAATTTTTACTGCTTTCTTGTTGTGTTTTATATCTTGTTCTCTCCAGGCTTCGTGGACTCGACCAGAGAAGCAAGAGGTATAGCTTACCTGACCACTAGCCAGTCTTTAGTTTTGAAAACATTACAGTTTAACTCACCATTACAGTTTAATAACCAGGCATGCTAAACTAATTAGTAATTTAGTTAGATTAAAGAATAGGTCAATAGCGGTAGACGTTACTTAGCAATAGTGTCATTTTAGGATGAGCAAGCAAGTTGTGTTGGGAGTGGATGAACAAATCCTTATTATTTCCTAAAACCAGATCGTACTCTCTTGCTGGTGCTGGTAAAATCACATTCAGGTAATTATACTTAGAGAAATAAATCGCCCCAATTCCCAGGCCAGGCATTTTGAAATGTGAAAATTTTTGACTCTCACCTGGTTAATGTGGCTTTGGATCATAAAGTCACAGAGTTGGTGATCGAAGAACCCACTCAGCCCTTTCCTTTCCAGCTCAACTCATCTTGTTGCTCTCTTATTTTAAAATGATTGGTCTTGGTAAATTATCACATCACATTTCATCTCGAAGCAATGCAAATGACATCTCTCGTTGGTTTTCCTAAATTGTTAAACATATCTATATAACTTCATAGATCATTAAATTTATGAGATTAGAGTGATTTGGCACAAATGGTTTTATGTTTTTAAAAATTGCTAGCATTTAGCCTTTGAAATTTCTTTGACAACTTGCTTCAGTTTGGGTAATGTGGGACTTAGTTTGAAAACTGAAGCTAAATGTTCATCTTTAGGTTTTATTGTCACACCCCAAGATGCTACTCATGATCATACCTATCATTTTTTACCTGATTTGTATGATTAAATAACAGATAGTGAAATAAAAACCAGTATTCTCTAGATGAGGTTTATGGATCTAATCTGTACTTTCTTTAAAAAATAGCTTTTGTTTCTTCTCCAGATGGAATTTCGATAATGTAATACTGTAAATGTAGAATATAGCAAGCAATCCTATAGACTGTATTATAATTAGGTAAATCTATCCTCTCAGTCTCTCGGAAATGATTATTATTCAGAACACATAACTCGTGTTCAGGTCATAGCTATAAATATTTAATGCTGTTTAATATTAAGTTGACTGCCTGTCCTCAGGCACTGATGTTAGTTTCTGCACATGAACACACTGCTGTCATCAGATCTAGTTCATTATAAGCTCTCTTTGCATCAGACCTTCCTCCATGTCACAGGGACTATAGTTCAGTGCACCGCCTCACCAAAATGCTTCCTTCCTATGACACAGGAATCTCTTAGTGCTATAACAGGCTGCGTGTTTTATTGCCCCAAAGTCATGGACCCACTGGGATCGGGGAAGAGAGAGAAGGGTTAATTACTTCTGAGCAGCTACAGAACTCATTCTGCTTGGCCTTGTACATCTTCCCCCTGTCATTCTGATTTAGACCTGGCTAGAGGAGGAGCTGAGATTTATCAGGGAGCATTAAGGAGATGTTAAAAGAATTATTAGCATAAATGGAAGTAATAGGTTTACTCCCCAGCAAGCAGACACCTGATTCCGTTTTCCAGAAGTGTCTTTATCTTCAGTATCTCACTCTGGACATAATTGACTTTCAAATGAGTGCCACCCCTGAGGCCCAGAGGTTCCATTCCTTGCTATATATGTCATTTGGAGATGAAAACTGCAAGTCCTGATGAGGTCAGAAGGTGGCTTGCTTTATGGTCAATTTCATTCTGTAAGCTTTGAAGAGCCTCAGCACTTTTACGTGGAAGAAGAGGGACAACAATGTTTTGATGAGAAGAATAATCGTAATTGCCCTTTATACTCATTTACAAAGCAGGGTCTTCTTGCCATAATGATCTTTTCATTCTTGCCCAGAGTTCATCTGTTTCCTTCTTCAGAGCCTGAATTGTCAACATGACTTTTGGTCTGGATGGCTTGTAGATGGCACTCCCTGACTTTGTCCCGGTGCCAGGGTAAAACATTTCTGAAGGAGATAGTCCAGTCACGCTGGAGTCTCTTCTCTCTGCGTCCCCCTCCGAGGGAGAACTGGGCATCTGGCAAATAATCTCATCATCAATCCTGTTATGAGCCGCTGCAAAATAAGAATTCTCTATAGAGGGCCACCTACTGGTCTCTTGACATCATTAAATGAGAAAATTTTCCACACCGAGAACTTTAAGAAAAAGACCAGAATGGGGAGGAGTATAGCTGTCCATACAATCATTTCCTGAGTTTCTCTTTGACCATTTTCTAGGTTATTCTGAGTAAAGACTGCTCACGCCTTGCTTTTTGTTATTTGTCCATGTCCTACTCTGACCTACATGACTTTCTTTGCATCTCTTGCTGCAATACCTCTTCCTTATAGAAATGTTCTCTTGACTTCCCAAAGATTCTGGTCAGTTTTCCATGTTTATGCATGGTGGCCCCAGGACATGTCCTGTCTGTGCGACAAAGAATTATAGTTCAGTTGCTGGTTGGCATCACTGTGTTCTCACTGAGATAACCAGAAAGGCCAGTGTGGACCTTGAATTTTCTCCACTTTTGTCCTGTTGTCTTTCGGCAAATGGGAGTGACAAGCAGGTCATGTCATCCTTTTAGAAATACTTGTTTGCAGGGATGGCTTCACGTTCTCGATGCCACTAATTTAGATTGATGAGTAAAGATGTTGTGTGGCACACGAAAATTGCCCCTAGGATGTACAGACACAACCCTGTCAGCCCACAGGAATGGAGATCCCAGCATCTAATATCTTCGACAAACTGGAAACTTTTGAGAAAGTCTCGAGGCTTTCTAGTCAAGCGCTCCATACTTGTCTTTTGTCATCTCTCATTTGTGTGTGGCGTCTCTTGGGGTGCAGCTTCTCAGCCAGTCAGCCTCACAGATATACAGGCCAGATGGAGCTGAAAGCCGCAGGCATCGGGCACTCCTCTTAGAGAGGAGTGGCAGGTACAGCCAGAGGTGGTGGTGATGTCGCATGGCTTTTCAGTCTCCTTGCTAGCCATCGTGTTCTAGCTTCCAGAGTTGAAATGTAATGGGGCTTAGATGGCTGACATGGATTAGGTCTATCAGTGATGGTACAGGGACTTCTTACAATAGACTTGCCGAGACCTCTCACAAAGCCAGTGGTGCCTTGCTTTTGAGCATCCCAAACTGACTTTTATATGACATTGCAATTCTGGGTTGGGGGCTTCCAAACCAGCATAGAAAAGAATTTGAAGTCAGGTGTCCTTTCATTCTTTCAAAGCCCAAGCTTATTGGATAAGAGATGTCATATGCAGACCACTCACCTGTCCATCTCTATAGAATATCATATGCTGTAAGGACAAAGTCTCCTTCAAATTACCAGCTTTCTTGAGGATCCGAACTTGGGCCACATGCCCAGACCTTTCCTAGGCCAATAGCCATTTCACTTAGAGTATCGGGGGCAGGGGAACCCTTTGGAAATATGCCAGTACCCATTGCCTAGAGATCATATGCTTATTTCCTTTTTGACCAGTCTTGCAATTCCAGAGGCTCAGAAAGCCAATTATAGTATCTAGAGCTGGAAAATGATGGTGACTGTGGTGTCAGGGATCCCAGATCTGCCTGGGACTCTCTGTACTACTCACTGTTCCTAGAGAGGGAACACAGTTACCCTCACTTCCAGCTCAGCGACTCCTGAACTCTGAGTTGTGAGGCTTTTTTTAAAATGAAATTATTTTACTTTTAAGCATCCCGGAAAGCAAGGCATCTGCATAAATATAGGTTTCTTACATAATTTCTTACATTTTTGGCACATTCAGATTTCCCATTACGTAGATTCCCATTACATGTGCATGTACCGTGGCACTGGCAGATGGCAGACTGCTGGAAGGAGAGGGTGGGAGTGCAGGTTTCCCAGAATCTCATGAGGCAAGCCTGTTTCTGCTGGAATATCTTGCTGGTCAGGACTTTTGTTTCCATTTCAAAGATGCCTAACGTCGTCTTGGGGGACCTTGGTTGTCCTTGCCCCAAAACCAATCTTGGCACATAGGCTATGCTGCTTGATATGAACTGAGTCCCATTTTCTGTTTCGGACACACCCAAGTTCCCATGGTGCTCTCTGCAGCCTCCCCCCACTAGTTGGTACCTAAAGCGAGACTTAGACATTGGCAGAGAGAGGAGAGAGGATGTGAGACTGGTCACAGACAAACGATGGCCTGGTCTCCTAGCCCCTGCCCTGTCTCGGGCTCTGATGCTCTCCCTTCCCTCCCGGCAGACTCTGGACGGGCACATGGTGGTGCGCAGCCATGCCCGAGTGTCATCCCTGACCCTGAAGAGCATCCAATACACAGACGCTGGAGAATACATCTGCACTGCCAGCAACACCATCGGCCAGGACTCCCAGTCCATGTACCTCGAAGTGCAATGTGAGGAATAACCGTGGAAAGATGCGGTGTGGGGAAGGACCGTGCAGGGTCAGCATGAAAGGGGAAAAGGGCAGCTACCTGAGCTGTACCGTGTGAGCTCTGCTCACCTTCTCTGTGGTGGTCGGCCCTAGACCGCATCAGAGCTGTGTCCCCAGCTCATCCCCTTCACACCATCCCTAGGCTTCTTACAAGCCTGCATGCCCTCCGTCTTCCCATGCAGCTCACAGGTTTGACAAAAAAGCTGGACCTCTACTGTACCCTGGCACTAGCTGTGCTTTGGGGCAGACCCGCCTTCTGGGGCCAGGAGACAGGATATGCGGGGTTCTATAATAGTGGCAGTTTCCCTGATAGTCATTGCCATTCATTGCAGATGCGCCCAAGCTGCAGGGCCCTGTGGCTGTGTACACTTGGGAGGGGAACCAGGTGAACATCACTTGTGAGGTATTTGCCTACCCCAGTGCCACAATCTCATGGTTTCGAGATGGACAGCTGTTGCCAAGCTCCAACTACAGCAATATCAAGATCTACAACACCCCCTCTGCCAGCTACCTGGAGGTGAGTTGGGGGGGTGGGTCAGAGGGCAAAGTGGAAAAGACACAGTTTGACCATGGATAGGCTCCTGTAAGCAGCTAAAATCTCTCTTGCTTCGCTGGCATGTCTTAAGCCAGGAACCCTTGGCTGAAGTCGAAACTGAGCCTTATTCTCCCTAGGCAAGATCAGGGCGTGAGAGGCAGAGTGTGTCTCTCCCCTTTTCTGTTCTTCTCTATAGTTTAAGGCTAGTGATTCCTGCTTTACTGGTTCTATTCTTTGCTAATTTAACCGAATAAATAAGGAACGGAGGCTGTGGCCATCCCATGGGACATGTAACCCAAGAACTCCTTCTTTCTAAAGGTGACTCCAGACTCCGAAAATGATTTTGGAAACTACAACTGTACTGCAGTGAACCGCATTGGACAGGAGTCTTTGGAATTCATCCTTGTCCAAGCAGGTGAGCACCTCTTACGTTGTACCACCCTCAAAACCCTTGCCAGCCCATTTTGTGTCCTTTGGTGATGTCAGGAGAGTGGGAAGGAGAGAGGGCCAGGGTCAGCAAAGCCAGAAGGTGAGGGGGCAGGTTGCTGATGGAGTCGAGTATCTGAGCACTGGGCACGTTCAGAGAGAATCACAGGTGAGATGGGCTGGGGGGACAGGATACAGGCGACAGGATTCCAGGAGTGAGCAGAAATGGAAGAGATGTGCTTTGTGGTTGTAAATTGTGTCCTGGACCGAATCGGGCTCATCTGGGTCTCCCTCCATATGTGCCCTCTCCGCAGACACCCCATCTTCACCATCCATCGACCAGGTGGAGCCATACTCCAGCACAGCACAGGTGCAGTTTGATGAGCCAGAGGCCACAGGCGGGGTGCCCATCCTCAAGTACAAGGCCGAATGGAGAGCAGTGGGCGAGGAAGTGTGGCACTTCAAGTGGTATGATGCCAAGGAAGGTGAGTGGAGACGAGTCTTCGTTTCCTTTAGAATGATGAGTCACTCAGTGGTGGGCACACACTCACCTCCTGAGTTCACCAGATCCTGGCACCCGGACTGCCCATTTGCGTAGGGTGGCACACCGCACTTACCTACAGGGAGAGGCGAGATGCCACCACCTGCCATCCTGTTCATGTTCCTATGCTGTAGCACCGTCACTGTCCCTCCAGGATTAGGGCACGGTCACACCTCATGCAGAGTTGTTGGCCTTCAGATCCTGGTTCCCATGACCCTGCCAGGATGGATGAGGCCATTTCAGCTACATTCCAAGCAGAATCCCTGCATAGGTGCTGAGCAAAACCAGATGCGTTCAGTCCACCCTGCTCTGCACGCGTGGATTACATGGGCCATGGGTTTTTGCCATTGCCCAGCCAGTCCTGTCTGGGGTATACTCAAGGACTGTTATTTAATAAGCAGAGCCAGAAAAACAAGTTTGCTCATAAGTCAATTCTGTGATATATTTCTAACTAAGAATTTGTTAAATGACCCTTGGATGACTGCAATTGGAAGCTTCTGAGCCCAGACCATCTTTCCCTGAGGAATGAGTATATTTATGTCTAACTGTCCTTTTCCAGTTAAATTGGAATAGTTCGGTGAAGTATGTTTTGTTTCTGTAGAAATGTTTGATCCTCGCCAGGTATGTGGTACCGAGGGTGGAGTTAGGAGTGTGTTAGAACACGTCATAGCCATTCAGAGGCATCTTCCAACCCAGTTTTACTGAGAATTCACTCCACCAGGAGCTTCCATCACTCCTTCAGCTTTGGGGAGGAGTGAGGGGTTCTGGGAGGAATTTCTGTGTAATCAGGAGTGGAACTAGAAGAGAACAATTCTTCTACCTTTATAACTTCCCTCTGAAACCTCATACCGACATGGTGGGGCTGATACCATGTTACAGTCTGTCCACAGGTTTTGTTTTTTAACGTCACTTCTAGCTATCTTTTTATTGTAAAATTTGTGTGTGTGTGTGTGTGTGTGTGTATGCAGATTTCCCATTATGTGGATTGTGTGTATGTATACACACACACACACACACACACACACACACATAACGTAAAATGTACCATTTTAACCATTTTAAGTACATTAAGTGGCATTAAGTACAGTCACGTTGTTGGGCAACCATCACTCTCCATCCCAAACTCAGTACCCATTAAACAATAACTCCCCATTCCCTCCTCCCCCTGCTCCTGGCAACTGCCAGTCTACTTTCTGTCTCTACGTGGTCGACTATTCTAGATACTTCATATAAGTAGAATAATACGGTATTTATCCTTTTGTGTCTGGTTGATTTCACTCAGCATAATATCCTCAGGTTTCATCTATGTTGTAACATGTGTCAGAATTTCATCCCTTTTTACAGCTGGATAACATTCCGTTGAATGTACATACCACAGGCTGTTTATTCATCTGTCCATGGACACTTGGGTCAGGTCCACTTTTTGGCTATTATGAACAATGCTGCTGTGAACATGGGTGTACAAATATCTGTTTCAGCCCCTTTCAGCTCTTTTGTGTATATATCCAGAAATGGAATTGCTGGATCAAACGATAATTCTGTGTTTGACTTTTTGAGAACTCGCCGTAGTGTTTTCCACAGCAGCTGCACCATTTTACCAATAGGCTTTTCATCCTTTGTGCTCCTTCCCATATTCTCACAACAGCCAGCATGGAGGGCATCGTCACCATAATGGGCCTGAAGCCTGAGACGACGTACGCAGTACGACTGGCAGCCCTCAATGGCAAGGGCCTGGGCGAAATCAGCGCAGCCTCCGAGTTCAAGACACAGCCAGTCCGTAAGTAAAGCCAGCTGCCCTGCCTCTTCCCCCACCCACCCTCTTCTCCTGGGGGGAATGGGGGACCCTGAGCTGGCCCGGTCCGTTGTTAGGTTTTTTTGTCTTTCAGATTCCTCTGCTCAAAGTGTCCCACCTTCCAGTTCCCTGGCCCTCAGCGATGGCTGATACCCAGCCCCTTTATCCTCTCTTTCTCAATGGGCTTGGTGACACTGTCAGAGTAGCTGGTCCAGCTCGTTAGAATAACAGCCGGGGAAGAAAACCACCAGCACATTATGAAAGGGAATGGGAAGAAACACAGCAGTGTGCTGCAGAGGGAACTGGGAGATTTGCTTTTTGACACAGATCACAAAGGCCCTAAGCACCTTGTGACTTGAAGGAAGAGGGTAAAGGCAGTGACAGTTCACATAATTAGTTGTGGGACTTTTGATGCAGCAGAGATAATAAGTTATAGAAGAGCGGAGACTGCTGTAGGATGTAGGAGCGGAAGCAAAGCCCCAGGAATGCAAAAGGGAAGCAGACGCTGAGGCCTTCGACTCTGCTGCTCCTCCTTCCTTCCTGCGCCAGGAGCACACCTCAGGGTCTCCTTCCCTCGCGGCCTCCTTGAGGAGTCGCTTCTTCCTGATTTCATTCAAGGATGCATATCTGTTTTCCTCTGTCATTCCCTCTTTCCTAAAACTATGCCTGCCACCTTTCCCCCTCCCTTCCCACAAACGGCCAGGCTTTGGGTGAGCCCTGCTCTGGTAGTATCCCTCCACAGAACTGAGTTACTCCCCTGGGAGGATCATGAGTCCGCCCAGCTGAAGAAGATGCTGTAGAACCAGACTTCTTGAGCAGTCACAGAGCTACCTGGGCCCTCTCGGATTCCTGGAATTAAAAAGCCCCTTTGCTTCCTTCTCTTTGAAGCCAGGGGCCTGCAAAGCGATCTCTTTACCTTTTCCCAGAAGTAGAAAGCCTGTCTTATCTTCCTTCTACAGGAATTGCTTCTTTCTGGATTTGAAATAATTTGATAATTTGAGTTCCCAGCACTATGGGTTCTGCAATACTATTCATTTCTTTTACATCTTATTTTTTTTCTTGGGTCTGTCTCTTGTCTTTTCTCTTCGTCTGTGTTCCATCCATGGGAAATGCAGATAGCCCCCTTCCACGTAAGTGCCTCTTCGTACTTCATTACCTGTGTCTATAGCGTTAACAACTGCTAGTCCTAGTCCTTAATTTAGTTCTGGTCCCTTTTTGTCCCCTAGAGGCTGAAGTAGATGATACTCTCTGGGCCCTAACCACACTGACTTCAGTCTAGTGTGTTCTGTTAATGTCGTAGGTTACTCCAAGAGGCTAACACTCGTCCTGTTTTAGAGCATGCAACTCTTGTGTCTTTCAATATTATGTTTATTAATTTTTGTGTGTGACAATTACCCTGTGACAACAATGATGTTTGCTGAGCCGAGTGTGGTGGCAGTCTGCAGATGGTCTGTTAATAACATGTTGTGGTACCACCTCACCTTTAGCCAGGATGCCAGGAAAGTGACCACATCCTTACCAGGCCTCAGTTCAAAATCCCTTCACGGGAAAAAGGACCTGAAAAGATTCTCACATTTTCTTTTAGGAGATAAAAGAATTGAGCTCACTGAGCCTTCTGTTTAGTCTATCATGGTAGTAGCCGGAGGGCACGAGGAGGATTGGTGGGGGAGGCAGCAGCTACAAGTGTAAAGAGTAGCGTGAAGTTTTGGTCCAAGCTACAGGGACATCTTGCAGGCAGTTGCTGAGGTGTTAAACCCCCCAGTTCCCATCAACTCTGTTCTTTAGGTACTTGCAATGTGCATTTCCGTGTTTGGGAAAACTAACCAGCTACTTAGTCACTCTACTGCCAAGCATGTAGAGAGGGGTGATTCTCCCCAGGAAGGACCCCCTAATTGTGAATGCTATAACTAGTGGACATAAGGAGCAAGGATAATGGGAAGCTGGTCTGGGCGACCCAGCCTGCACAGATACCCCCAAGCATCACTTCCGCTGAGGTGTGGCCCGTTCTTCCTAAGCTGAGCTCAGAATAGTGGAGGGTAGTGCTACCCAGAGAGACTCGGAAGAAAAGGTGTTCAAGAAGCTGCACACTCTTTTCATAAAAAGCTCCTGGCTCCTGAAAGGCACACAGGGAAGCTTATCTTTTAAAAATTTATTCAGAAATATCGCAGCAGCAGCAGAAACTAAGTAGCTCAGTGTAGGCGTTTTGAAATTTCGAGCAAGTGCTAAATTTACTATCTCAGCAGAGTTGGTTCCTGAATGAACCAGTTCTAGAAGGAGTCAAAATGGCGGGGGTTGGGGGGGGCAGGTAGTTGTCAGGTAAGTCTGACAGCTGTCTGCTCAAGCTGGCAGCTCTTCTTCCCTGTGTGAATGCAGACAGAGCAGCTCTGGCTGTGAGAGCACCTTCCCCCTGGATGCAAAGCTGGTCTTTAGCCTGAGTCTTCTTGTTTTCCTTCTTCTAGATGTTATCAGTACATAAATAGGGAGGAAGGGAGGAAGGCTGTGATGAGGCCTTCTTGGAGTTTCTAACCAGTAGCTGGGTTTTCAGAACTGAATCAGAGTGACTGGGTGTTGGATTTCCAGGGTTCTAAGTGGTTTTCATTCATTGCCAGCTCAGCCCTTGTAAAGATGAGAATTTCTATAGAAGATACTGTTTTAAAAGTCAATGTTTAATTTAAAAAGAGAGAGAGAGAGAGAGATACTTCTAGACCTGTTGTTTGTTATCTGATAGTATGAAAATGGGTAATTAACCAAGATTCCAAGAAGCCCTTTGGAAAATGGTAGGGTCAGTTTTCCATTTCAAGTAGATCACAAATAATACAGTAGCAGGCATTGCTAGTGTCATGAAAAGTCTGTTTCCTCAATCATTTAATAAAGTTATGATTGAGAAAATTAAAAAAGCAAACTTCTTTTGGATAAGAGCCGTGGCACAGTCTTAGAATTGAGTGGGCCTTGTTCAAGAACTCGAGCAGCATAAGAGGTGCTACACATGTGGAAATATGTGGAAACCTCGTACTCTCTCTAGAGTTAGTTATTGTGCTCTTCTTTCCTTGCACCCTCATAGCCTTCCTAGAGTTGCCAAAGTGGGGGCCTAGCCCAAGGGGCTAGTGTTAGCCCTGGACCTATCCTGGAAAAGGATGTAGTTGGAAGGAAGATGCCAGCATTTACTACTGCCGTGACGACACCCACTTTCCACTACTAGGGAGTGAAGACAGGGTTTAGGAAGCATCTTCTCTGAGTTTTACTCCCATTACTTGAAGGAACAACGGTTGCCTGGACACAATCAGCCATCAACAATTATAGCAGTTCAGCTGCGTGCTTATGCAGAGCCCAGGAACCAGTGGTGTGGGTTTCTGACATTGGCTCATCTCGCCCACTGACGGTGGATTCCCCTCCTGTAATGTTGGGGTGCAGATGCACAGCCTGATCCTGTGACACTGGAGTTAGGCCCTGAGTGCACCTTTACCCCAAAGGAGAGAAGGTACAGGATCGACAGAGAATCATTGCTGCCAGACCCCTGCACTGGGAGATGTTAGGTGAGAGCCAGCGCATTTCATATTAGCTTATCACTTGAAGTTTGTTGAGATGTCTCAATAATGGGGTTGCCTTCTTGGTTCCTTAATGGACTTCTCCACATTTAGAGGCATGAGTATGTCAAAGTAGGGACGAACAGATGAAACTAGCCAAAGCCACAGATACCTCAAGGACTCCTGCTTCTGATCTGCCAGCTTAGAAAGCATGGCTCACCTGTTAGGAGGTTCTTGCACACAGTTCATAAATGCGTGTGTGAAGGTAATAAAGAAGCTGTGACTCCAAACAAACAGAACTCCAACCTGAGAAAATGTTCCTGTCTCGTGTATATTTAGGACAAATGTTTTTATGCTGTTAAGACACTCTTAAATGGAAAGCTGATGACCTCTGTTCGCCTTGGGAAGGGCTGCTTCCCTATCTGAGCTGCTGAGGCCCTAAAGTGATGTCACAATTTATTATGAATCTTTTCCTCATGACTGAGCTGTACCCCTTCAGAATTTCATTGCCTGAGTATTACCTCTTAATTGCTTCTGTACCATGAAGTGAAGTAAACAATTTTTTTCAGGGTATAAAGATTATGTATAAATGAGTCTCTACTTTTTTAAAAGAGGCATCTTGAGATTTTTGTGTTCACGTTTTGCCCCCTAGATAGCACATTGCAAGTATAAGTTTAATGCCTTGTAATATGTTGTGGTTAAAGCACATAAAACTCTGTCTCTTTGCCAAAATGATATGGACAATTATGCAAATAACTCAAGCCAAACAAAAGAGAAAGAAAGAGAGAGATACACTTTTACCTGAATTAACCAGACCGTCAAATCATGATGAGTTAGTAGCCTATCTTGTTCTGATTCCAGTGACATTGCACTTGCATGGTTTCATGGGGTACCCTCATCTGGAAGGCAAAAGGAAGACCAAACCATGAGTGTCAAGGCAATGTTGAAGATATGGTAATGTTTTCCCAAATTTTCATCTAGCTCCAAAAGGACTTTATTTTACGATTGTGGATGCGACAACTTCTTAATATTTGCCAATGGAAAACTAAAGATCTGTCTAAAATGTCTTGGAGGTACCATTGCACTATTTCTACTTGTTTTCCATGCATGAAGTTGGTTAGAGTTACTCGTTGAACGAGAATAACACAGTATTATTTGCATCGCTCTCCATATACACAACAGTATCCAGAGAATCACATTCTGTAGGGTTTTTTTTTTTTTTGGAGGACAGCAGTGGTTGTATTATCATCCAGATGCCAAACAATCATGAACTTCAACCCGTAGTGAACATTAATAAGTAGGATGGTCATTTTTCTTTCATTCAGATATTTAAATTAGGGAGTGAGACGTATAGTTTTTGTTACAAATATGTGCCATTGGTGTAAATATATGCCTAATACAAACACATAAAGAGAGATCTAACATGAAAAGCCAAAGTTGTCTTCTCCTTCACTTGTTCACCTTAAGCTGGGGTCCAGGTTCCCTTTCCTCCTGTACGTCTGATCCTATGGAGACAGCTGGTCCCGCTGAACTGGCTGTTTGTTTTCAGGCACGGTTGAAGGCTTCTGCAGCTGTTCCTGGCCCAATCCCTTGCCTGAACCCCAGGCTTGGCAGGCGCACAGGTTTATGGCTTGAAGTCAGATTGCTCTGCTCCTCTGCAAATACGTGGTCCACTGGCCACGTATTTTCATGCACGGTGTTCTTTTTCCCCACTTTAACTCACTTCAGCTTCCTGTACTGATATCCCAGCGTTGGCCCTTCCATTTATTTCATGCAGTATCTGTGAGCCTTGATGATCTTTTATCCCTTTTTTTTTTTTCACCTTCATTTTTCTTTCCTCAGCAGCTCCTGCTAGCTCTTCCACCCCTGTTCCATTGTCTCATCCAGATAGTGAGTATCCATTTTCTTCATCCATCTCTCTGCAGGTTGCTTTCCACCAGCCGCATTGGGTGATAATACAACTCTGTTGGTGGAAAGCAGCGCCGAGTTGTAGAGAAGCAAATAAGAATAGAAATAGGCACCGGGCCTCTCAGATTCATGGGAGGCAGCACTCCCCTTACGGGGCTGCAAGTGAAAAGCCTGACTATGGACAGAAAACCCTGCAGACAGGCTCACCTAGGATGTTGCAGCCCAAACCTGTGCTGGGTTGCTTCGTAAGCTGGACCAAAGCTGATATTTGCAGAAGCCAAAGGAATTTGCCAAGAAAAATCTATTCTGCAGGGTCATAAGAAATGCTTTGGGGTGTTGTGTTTTTACCCTCATTTTAATTGGCACAGTTGGATTCAGATATTAAAATTAGATAGTCAGGCCTATAGCTTTTGCTTTTTCTATAAATGCATACATTTCTCATAAATATTTGTGGGAAAACAAACAGCGTCAGCTTGCAGATGTGCCGGGCAGCAGCCACCGAGGCAAATTATTTAACCTTTCACAAGCAAGCCTTGTTTTTCTCCTCTATAAAACAGGATGAGAAGTTGCCCTCCCCCTAGTCCCTTCCCCCCAAAACCCAACAAACGTTATAGTATTTATCAAGCTGTGCTTGCACACCTACCTGGGAGCAGCACCACTAAGTCCGACAGTGATGTCACCTGGTCAGTCTCAGCCCTCGTCATCCTGACTGAGCCTCGCTCATTTATGATCTTACTTCATTTGGCTGTCCTGTCCTTTTGTTCCCCTGCATCTTTGGAAGTAGGGAGAGCTTCAGGCCTGCTACTATTTGGAGTTTTGAACCTATCTTTCTGGGGAGAAATAGCAAAGTGAAATAGCTAAGTAAGTCCCAGGGTGTCATGCCAGCCCGTGCTCAGAGTAGCAGACAGGGTGCAGGCCCAGCTGGCTGTGTTCTCCTTAGTACATCCAAAGTCCGTGTACTCTGGGAGCAGCTGCAGGAGGTGACCCAAGCCCCATGCTCAAAAGTCCCCTGTTGCATCTGTTCGAGTTAGAAACAGGCCCACCACTGCTCGAGGTACTTCCAGGCAGTGTATCATAGCAGGAGTTCAGCCTTGGAAACCAGAAACAGCCCTGGGTTCACATCCAAGCTCTGCTACCTCTGCATACAGCTCCATGATTTTGAATAAGTCATTCAACCTTCCCAAACCTCAGATTTCTTACCTCTCAAATGAAGGATAGATTCTACCTACCTGGTAGATGTTTGTGAAAGTTAACGATCAGGTATGGAAAACAAAACACAGTGCCCAGCATGCAGTAGCTGGAATTCATGGTAAGAACAAATTGAGGGCTATGTTCTTTCTTAATGTGTGAGAGTAATTTGTCAGCAAAATCTTTGATAATCTCTTTAAATATCTATATTAATATTGATAGATCAGGGGAAGAAGGAAGTGTGAGAATATCTTCTTCACCATCTCTGTTTCTCCTTATAATCCTTAAATATATACACACATATACACACATATATTTATTAAGGAATTTAATGTATCACCATTCCCTCCTTCACCTTTCTGTGCCCTTTCTGTCCTTCCTGTTTCCATAGCAACCTGGCCTTTTCCTGCCCTTACAACCACAGAACCGGCTAGTGAGTACAGAGCTGAACTGCTCTTAGCCAGATTGCTGCTCGTTGCAGAGCTGACTTCTGGGTCACACGCTGCCCGTGATTTTCCTTTGTATTAAAGCAACAGTTGTGTGTGCATGGCGGCCCCTCGCCTGGTGTGGTTTCCTAAGCACGCTGTCTGCTTGGCCAAGAGAGCAGACCCAGCATCACCAAAAGAACTCATTTTTAAAATACTCTGTGCATGAGGAGACTTTTCCAAATTTACTCTCGAGTTAAAAATAGAAAAGGATTAGAGAAACGCTGATGAGGCAAAAGAACAGCATCTCTTACCAGCTTCTGTTGTCCCTCCCCTCTCAAGTGCACACATACGCATGCGTACACACACACACACACACACACACACACACCCCACACACATACAGGTGCTCACATAGAAGTAGCTAAAACAGAACAAGGGAAAGAATAAGAAAAAATGGCTGCTTGGGGATGCAAAGAAGGAAGGAATCACTGCCTCTTGACAGCCTGCCTACCATTGCCTCGCTGCAGAGTCGAGCAGGTGTGTACACAAAGCACGCGCAGGAAGGAGAGATGCTTCCATCTCCTCATAGGCTTCCTCAGTGCGGGAAAAATCATGGCCCAAAAAATAACCAGGCTTACTCAAGTTTGTGTGCTAAGACTCCAGATGAAAGTTCTGGAATTCATTTCCTGATGATAGAGTCAGGGCCAGACTGTATCATCTTTTCCATCATGGAAAATATTACACTTCATCACAACTGTAACATGTTCCAAGCCCGTCTCTATAATGCTCTAATGAAGTGAGCTTGTGGGTTAGGCCTTAAATCCCCTGACAAATCAACTGGAGCTGTATGTGTGTGTGTACGTGCGCACACACGCGTGCATGTGTTTACAGTGTGTGACCACAGCCGTGTGGGAGTTTTGGATTTTATAATTTTTCCGAGTATGCAGAAAAAAATGACGTGCATCCCATTGAGCAGGAGTCAGAGCGAGAAGGCAGAAAGCAGATATGCACAGTACAGCTCCTGCTCCTGCTCTCTGCTCAATGGGCCAGGGTTTCTGATACATAATTGAACAGAGAAGAAAAGAGTTTCTTGGTTCCGTGTGCTGCATGAAACGGTTCTTTTTTCTACTGCAGAACGTAGCTAAGGGTCTGCTTTCTTGGTGTTCTCTCCGTGTGTGTGCTACAATGAATTTTAATTCCTGATGCTTTTGAGGTTTCATTTTGTTAGCAGAGCAGAGCTGGCGACAATGAACCGTGCTCTCATGAGTTTAATTCAGATGATGGTTTTTGGTTTTTTGGAGGGGTTTTTTTGCTTTTTGTTTTTTCGGTTTTTGCATTTGGAAAAGGAATGTGACTAACAGCACCCTTTCTTCTTCTAACAGCGATGCTCCTGTCCTTTCCAGCTTGGGTGCAGTGTGTGTGCCAGGCACAGTAGGAGAAGGCTACATTATGCATTTGCAAAACTCGTGTCATATTTAAGGTGTCTCGCTATAGGTTGGTCTTCTCCAGAAGTAAAATATATCTTGGATCTAGATTTTTTCTTAAGGAGGCATTAGATGTTTCTCCCCTGACATAAGTTTAATTTTTTAATATAAGGCATTTATGCCCACATATAAAATGCTTAGTAGTGACATCCAAAGAGAAGAAAGTTAGAGTCTTTTTTATTTTGAACCACTTGACTACTGACCCAAATTGTAGGTCCCGATGGATGGTGGGATAAAGGAAAGACAGTCAGATCTGGGTAGTAGCCTGCATTTAGCGTGAACACATTCCTCAATAGTAAGGCAAAATGTAGCACATGTGAATTGCAGTGGAACCAGTAGCAGAGTAGCTAGAAGCATACAAAAATTCATTGATCATCAGTCAGTCAATAAGGTTGAAAATAATGTCTCCTTTTTTCACTAGTGTGTGTGTGTGTGTGCACGCACGCATGTGTGTGTTGATCCGTTTATAACTATGAATGAATGACGGTATCCTAAATAAAACCAAAAGATAAACCGCTCAGTCGTATGTAATTCCTGCAAGGCACCAATGGTTGGAATGTGCCAGAACCTGTGCACTGTCAGACAATAAGAATCACACATTCTCTCAGCTCACAGTAGCAAGGGAATATGTACCTTGGTTAAAGCATTTCTCTTGAATTATTTTTAAGTAGTGGTGTGCATTGGGCCAAGAGGTATCTCCACCTCCTTTCTTGGCCCTTCTTAGCTTCAGCTGACAATAGCCAAAACTTCCCTTGGCCTATGAAAGTTGGAGTGGGAAACCCAAAATGCCTTTTGACAACGCAAGGTCATTCGTGTCATATTTAAGTAACAAATTGGAATGTAAATACAACATAGGACAAAAAGAAATGTGGATAAATCCAAACAAGAAGACGATTTTTTCCATTGTAAGAATCATAGCAAATTTGTGTCTTCTCAATGTAGCCACAATTCTAAAGAGATAATTGTATCCACAAATACCCAAACATTTGTTTCATGTATAACTCTCAGCTCATTGGATTGGGGGTTTAGTTTCTGCCGTTCACTGTTGATAGAGCCATTGTCTCAACCACCAGAAAGAAACCTATTCCCTTTCTGCACTGACCTCTTTCTTTCTCTGTGTCTCAACTGGAGTATCTCATCGAGCCTCTGGGAAAACATGAGCAAGTGAATAGGGGAGTGAGAAAAGATCCCCCAGGCCATCTTCTCCCATCTGCATCCACGCGACCTCATTCAGCCCATGCCCCCTCTCCTCATTGTGCCGAAAGAAACATGAAATGACTTTTCTTACTGTAATGTCATATTTTGTTCTTACAGAGCTTACAGTCTACACCTTAAAAATCATGGTACTTCCCCTTCATGACCCATGTTCTGTTTCATTGCCCTTGTTTCCCAAGGATGCCTCGACATTTCTGGAATCTGCAAATAATAACTTGCTTTTTTCTTTTCCTTCAACAGTCTCCTGGATTGACTTTGACATCCGTGTCGTGACAGAAACACCTCCTTATTTTAAAACAAGTTTATGTGCTCCTTGATGTGTTATTAATATGCAGTGTTGCAGCTGTATCTAATGCTTATTGGTATTAACCAAATGCTCTTTATGATTTATTATTCTCCTATATCTGGGCGGTTTTACTGTCCTCCCAATGTTTCCTATATATGCTGCTAATTTAATTTGATTTCTCCTTTTATTTAGTCTGTGATTTTGTTGTTGATTTTTCTCCCTGCCCATTGTTTACATCAGTTTTTAATTTTTTGTATTTTCCATGTGACCTTCTCCACTTTCCTTTCAACCAATCATGTGCGTGCCTATCATGTGACTTTGTCATGTGGCTTGCATGGTGCTGATGATGTCGTCCACGCTGATGAACAGAAGGTAAAACTCTTTGTTCTGATTAGTGAAATAAATCTGGGACCACGGCCTGGCACCTAGGGCCCACTCATTTCTTCTCATCTCAAATTTCCTAAGAGAAGCCATTTAGTAGACTTCCTCTTGTTCTCAATTCACATGCAGAATTCATCATTCTTTGCAGCCTTGACATGACAATTTGATACCATGACAGCCTTTGGTTTAATATTTTGCTTTAAGAAATTTGGCCTTGCAAACTGCTATCTACAGTAAAACCACTTTAGCCATAGCACAGTTTGCAAACTTGAATTTTTACCACATAGTTCATAAAAACTATTTCCCAGAAAGCAGTTTTGTAAATTAGCTTTATAGCAGTGTAGCTTAACTTTATCCAGTAGTTCTAAAAACCACAGTTGCTCTAAAATGAGTTGCGTTTCCCTGAAAATGTGGAAATGTATCTGTTTACAACGTGGAAATATTACAGAAAGAAATGTATCAGTTGCAAAGGTTGTATTTGCTCAGAGCCAATGAGAGCGCTTCATAAAACTCACGCAAACTGAGGACTTTCTGAAATGAGAGATTTAAGAATTTTGAATTAGAGCAGTTTGGCTGTGATTGCTGAGGTGTCACTTTTCAAGAGTGACCCTCTCCCGGGCAGGGGTGGAAAAAAATCAAAGCAAAAGCCACTTGGCAGTTACCATGACTGGAGATCTCCACGTAATCAAGAAGCACACGATTGACCCTTACAGCAAAGGAGATAAAATTATAGCCTAATTAAATGCATAGCGGTGACAAAATAATTAGTTAATGTTGTGACTGTCACAACTTTGTGAAAATATTTCACGCTTACCGTGAAAAGGAAACCTCTGTGCACGGCTTTCCCCAGTAAAAGCAAACACCCATTCACAGCCTGCCCTGGGAGTCAAAAGCATTCTGTTCTCTTCTAACTGAAAGTTCTCTTCTACTTCAAATCACAACCCGAGACACATACAGGCTGCATTGATCACGAAAGCAAAACTAACACCAATAACCGCCCAGTGTGCCCATGCATGCAAGGGTCCCCTGTTTGACCTCACTTCTCTGAGAACTGATTGGGCGACATCCACACAAACAAAACCATTGACAGCTCGTCTTGCATGTTCTTTGTTCCTGGTCTGTCCTTTTGTCTTGTGCTCCCCCGTGTGTGAGCCCTGTGTTTGTTCCCTCTCAGTCACCCTCTACACTGACCACCTCGGAGGACTTCAGCTCTCTAGATATGGCCACTGTGTCCCTGTATAGTCCCCTTTACAACTAGACTCCTGGACAGAGGTCTTTGATTGGAGCCAAAGCAAGGGAACATCAGATTCTAACCTCCTTTAAAAACTGTCCTAATCTGTGAGTCTTAGGGTAGAGAATGTTCAGAGCCTAAGATTTTATTAACTCCAAGTCCCACCCAAATATGTGGTTTCCTTATTTCCAAGAGGGGGACCAGCCCTTTTAGATTTGTGGTGACTGCTCAAAAGCTGGTATACTGGGAAAAAGCTTGGACCTTCACCCTGAAATCTTAAGTTTGAGCAGATGTTGGGTTGAAACCCATTCATTTTCTTCTTCAAAAACAAGTTTGGTCATTTCTGTTCAATGCTATATAATTCAGAATGAAGCAAAGCAGTGTTAACATGGTAGAAACTAATTCGTACCTCTGAGGCGAGATCTCTTCCAGACATTTTAAGCAAGGCAAGAGATATTTGAAGATGTTTCCTGAAGTTGCCCTAGAAACACAACTTAGCAGTGGTCTTGGCTGTCAGTAAAAAATGTGGCCAATACTAAGAAAAATCACTGAGAGCCTATGGCATGCCAAAGCATAATTACCCCCTCATCAAACCACATTCGTATCTGAAATCCAATGTTCCCTGCTTCCCCACTGCCACCAAAAAAAAAAAAAAGTTGCCTGGGATACTGGGATGCTGGGATGCACTTAACATATGCTGGATGTTCCATGTCCCTTTGGTTCCCATCCACAGTGTTTACTGAGGCCAGTGCTGAACTAGGAGAGGGTAGGTGAAAACAGACCTTGAGCACCATGCCCCAGAGTCACCTGGCTCCTGAGTTCACAGAGCTTTGCACAGAGGGGTTCTAGACAGGGAAACCTGGGTGCCTGCCCCAGGAGCCAAGGAGTGGGTTTGCTACGGCAAGCTAAAATGCCCCTGATGCTAAAGTTTATTTCTAATACCATGGCATCGCATAAGGACAGGGCCTGCTTTCTCTGACGACTCCATCACCTACTGAGGACTCTGTGTAAATGGGACTCCCCGCCCCTCCCCACCAGCATGTGCGTGGTGAGAAGCCCCTGCACCCCCTCTGTCAGTGTGCTGCATGTTGGAGCATGGATTCCTCCCCACACATTCATAATGGTCTTTTTTTATTTAGCTACTGACTCTGACTCGTACTAGGACATGCTGATTCCGATACACTAAACTCCTTAACACCCGCTCTGCCTTCTTAGATTGAAAACATCACTAACCACCCCTTCCACTCCCTCCTCTATTTTTTACAGCTGTGTGTCTGGATTGCCACGGTCTCTGGCAGGTCGACTAGACTTTTCACCAGGGGTTCTGCTCTACTTGCCTTTATCCCTAAGGATTCTCTGCACTGGTGCTTACTGGAGTAGAGAGCTAGTGTGAGGGTACTGGAGAGCAAGGCAGTGATGGGTATCAGCCTGAATCCTGTGGGCAGGGACGGGGCTATGAAAAGTGCCTGTGTCCGTAAGGTTTACCAGTGTGAGCGCTGAAACCTCCCACGAGCCTCATCCTTAATAAGAAACCTAACTTCTGTGAGGTAGTGTTGAACATGTACACGAGGCCTTGTGGCCTCGGAGGCGGGAGCTGAGTTAATTGTTGGTGATAGCAGTTATTTCTGTCATAACTTCCTCAGCCTGAATCAACCCCATAACCACAAGCAATACCTTTGTGGTTATATTTTCTTTTTAGGATGATGAAACAAAACTAATTGATCAATTAATCTGTTGGTGTTTTCATGACACCCACGAGAAGGGAATTGGTATTTTTGTGGTCCAATCTGTCAGAGTTCATTTGTTTTCATGACACCCACGAGAAGGGAATTGGTATTTTTGTGGTTCGGTTCAATCTGTCAGAGTTCATTTGTTGCTGTTTAATTTGTATTTCATGCCACCATTTTCCTCCCTACCCACCCCAGCACACTCACTCACATTCATGATTCCTGAGAAAATGCTGGAAGGGATTTGTGAACTAGATGCTTCCCTGAGCTTGGCCTCGGAGCTACACATCATTTCTCTGTAGAAGCTGGGAACTGGCCATACTCACACCCACTTGTTTTGTACCCCAACACGCCCTGGAGCCAGGGGCCGGGATGCAAAGAGTCAGGTCATTTACTTGCACAAGTCAATCCTTAACGACTGAGCGAAAGAGTTCAAGAGAAAAAGTACACTTTTTTTCTCAAGACTTGAATGGGGGAGCAATGCCTAAGACCATGATGCCCATCTGTGCATTGTCAGTCTCTCTTTGGGACTGTCAGAAAGCTACCTCGGCACCCTTAGAATAGCCAGGTGGGTTGTTAAAGGGCATCAGGGAGAGTTCGAGGGTCCAAGAATGTATGCAGCGTGGCTTGCGTTAGATTCGCATGTCCGGCATCTAAGGCAAAGTGCTGCATCTCAAAAAGCAGGGTTAGTGGTCTGATAACTCTTAAATCCTGATTCCCTTAGGTAATTTGCTGATCCCCTAAGGAGCAGTCAAACTTCCAAACTCTTGATGCGGTTATGAATGTTCCTGAGTTGGAAAAATCAAATAGGCTACATATTTGAACAGCTAAACCTTCTGGACTTTTTAAAACAAAAAGGCACTTAAAAGTTTCAAGTTGTTTGTAAGAAATAATCAACAAAAGGGAACAGGAGTTAGGATAAACAAAAGGAACAGTAATTTTAACTCCAGACAATCCTATCTGACAGAACAAGAAAAGATTCTAATGCAGCCCCTACATCCATCATTGTTTTATACTCAGATGCCCAAAACTCTGTGCCGATCCCTAGGAAGAGAAAACCAAGTGGACGAAGAAAGATCCTTTCTCGGGCATGCCTGTTGGCACCTCAGCTATTCATTCAGAAGATACAGTTCTTGGTGCTTGGGCTTTTTTGAGTGAGAAGTAGAATATTGTTTTCCTTCTAAAATTCACAAAAGCTGTCTGAACGCCCTCCGCTTGCTATATTTTCTGTTGTGGAATTCGGATACCAGCAGTAGTTTTATGAACCCAGGGCTTCTGCTGACAAGGGGAAAGACATGAAGCTGACTCCAATTTGAGGACACAGTAGCACAATAATTACAAAGAAGGACCTATAATCCTCATGGCCAGGAATGTACATTTCAATTACGGTTTCTCAACAGAATTCATAGGGCCTGTCTGTAATGTTTCTGACTGTATGTGGTCTCTATGGTACATTCTTCTAGAAAATACCGGAACTGCCTAATATTTCATATTTGTAATCGGCAAGGTACCGCTTTTTCTTTTCAAGGTACCGCTATTTTAGTCTTTACATAAAATATTTGGGGGGAGGGAAGGAATTTTGACTCATGGCTGAAGCTAAACTCAGAGGGTGTAATTAACCCCACGGGTTTTCTTGGAGCAACCTGCCGATTGCTGCTGAATTGCAAACCAGCATTTACAAATAATTATGATATTGGTTTTGCTGAAATTACCCATAATGATTTCAATCAGAGCAGCTATCTCAGAACAGAATGCATATTGGAACCCTCAAAATAATCTCCTCTCCTCGTGTGTTTCAGTAAAGCAGTGAGCCTCCTGA